GGATAGATGCTGTAATTGATATGATGCTGAAATGCTACAGTCGTCATCCGGTGACTTGATTATTGCGGCAAGGGACGCGGCGCGGCTGCGGTGTGTTGCGAGCGCGGCGATCACCTGTTTCCAGCCTATTTTAGTCATTTTCTCCCTAGTTTACGCTGTTTTGGCTGCTTTTCTCACGATTAGTTGTTTTCTTGTCTTCACAAGTTAAATTATGATTGAGATTCTTCTGGTTTTTGCGTACAATTAAACAGTTAAGCAGACAATTGAACAAATAGCTGAAAAAAAATCGCAAAAACACTCCTCGTCCTAATATACTTCATATAGACGATAGAACAACTAACCTCAAAAAAAATAGAAAATAATCGTGAGAAAAGCAGCCAAAACAGCGTAAACTAGGGAGAAAATGGCTAAAATAGGCTGGAAACAGCTGATCGCCGCGCTCGCAACACACCGCAGCCGCGTCGCGTCCCTTGCCGCCCAAATCAAGTCACCGGATGACGACTGTACATTAGGCTGACATGAGTCAATTAGCTAGGGAATGCTACGCAGAGTTTTTCAAAAAAGTAAAGCACACGCTCGTTGCGTGGGTAGGGGTAGTCGACCATTGAGCGTTCTGCACTGCAGAAAGGTACAGTGATTGACGGTCTCCGCCCACGCGACCAGCGTGGACTGTGCCTGCAGGCGAAAATGATTTGTTCCCGTTTCAGGTGCAGCTACTGCGTGCTGAATACATGCTGAAATCAGGAGCTGTGGCTGCAACAGATCTCTACCAAATCTATTTGTCACTACAGCGATTTGATGTGTCTTCTGAAGATCTTCATTATCGTGTAGCAGTGTTTTGCGATGGAATGTATAGCATTGATACTGACAAGGTGAATAGTGTTTTTTAGTAGTATTGCGCTCTCCCGGAGCCTCATCGAAATCTGATTGTGAAAACATGAAGATGCATCAAAAGTATTATTGCAAAAGGCTCCAGTGATCCAGAAAGGGATCAAAAGTTTTTGCGGAATCTTTGCTTGCTTTGAATATTTCCGCCAACAATCTGGACTTTGCCCTCTGGTGTAAGGGGGTACCCCCTTATGGGAACCCTTCCTTGGAGTACTGACTCTTCTATGAGTCAATACTTCGAGGGGTCTGGGAAACATAATTCTGCAACTTCATACAATTCAAATTGAAGTTGGCTTCATCACGAGCTCCTAGTCTTTCTGAATCGTCGTTAAATGTGATACGGTTTCAAGGTTCGAAGTGATCTGGTGGCGAATATTCTGAAATCCTACACGAATGCGCTACGTTTTGGACGTACCCATCTGTTTCACGCCATGCCACGAATGCTGACCATATGGTTGGATGTTAGCCAAAAGAAGGTATGTAGCAGTAGCCCATCGCAAGGTGCTAAAAGGGCTGATTGAGTATTGTTTGAATCTACTGAAACTACCCAGTAACGGGGCACCTCGGGAGTTGAACGATTAGACGGGTGATCAGTTGCCGCAGAGGTGCTAATATGATTCAGTTTCTCAGCTCTTGTTTCAGACAGAAGCAATTCAAAGCCGAGGATCTGATGCCCGCGCCACTGAAATGAACAATAGAGACAACAACGACATTGCACAAGTGGGTAATTCCGTCTAATTTTCTTGAAATTCTGCTTGAATTGGTGCGGTGTTGCATACGGACCTAAAGACACATTCAGCGGTAATCAAGTGTGCAGTGATTGATGGTCATTGTGACTTACTCATTCGCGCACCATTCTTTTTTACCGCATTAGAGTGTGTGGTGTACCTGTGAAGAAAGCCGATGCTTGTAAGCCTCCGCCCATCGGTTCACCGCGGAATATGTCTTCAACTGACTCCGATACTGATAAATTCTAGATGAATACGGAGATTTCTCGTGCATTTCGGCAACTCGATTCGTACGCGTTTTATACTGCATTCCCTCAGTTGATCTCTCGCATAGTGCACCCTAACGCGTCAGTTTTTTCAACGCTGAAGGTGAGGATGACCTTCTCTGTTTTTTTCTTATTTTTCTAAAGTCAAACCTTTGTTAGCTGACATTCTTTTCT